TGATGTAATTTTAGCTATTGCTATAATATTTTTAATAAAAGTCAAAAATACAAAAGACGATATTATTGAGATATGCTCAAACGGTACTATTCCCGTGATTTTCTAATAATTGTAGTGATGCCGATAAACCAAATAAAGACCTCAAATCACTGCTTGAGAGGATTTTGTATTGATAACGAAAATTTATAATATAACATATGAAAACACTTGAGCAATATTTTATACACTTTAATTGTTACAAAAGTTTTTTGACTGAAATGGTAAACTCACTGTTCATTTTCTTACTATTTAAAAAAAAAATTTTTTTTTTCACGTAATAAACTACCTTACTTATCTTAATGACAGGCTCGATTGGTCGATTAAAAATACTTTCCGTTAATTAAAATTCCATTTCCGGCACATTTCGGCATACTTTGACTCATTAATTGAGGCGCATGAGAACACCAATAGTTCAACTATATATTTTCTTTCTAATTTTGAATCTATCAGAGATAACTCGTCTTCATGTAACATTAGTATCATGTAACTTTAATCCAGTAATTCTGATTAATTTGATATCTTCAAAAAATGATCATTCGACTTCTGCCAATAGAAAGAATTATTTTCGGAGCGTAACGGAGTCTCCAAGAGAGAAAAGGTATGTGTAAGTATTTTGACACGTATTATAGTTTGCCTATACAGATAGGCTGGAAATTGTCTGTGAAAAAAATTGATAATTTCTATGAACGCAATGATATACGCGTATATAAATTTGATATCTATCCAAGGGGAAATGTATTTATAATCGAAATGATAAAAGCAGTGCATGCATCAGTGATTACAGCTATTTTAACTTACCCAGCAGAGGTAACATCATTAATCATCCAATAGATGTTGCAGGTGCTTTAGGTAAAAAAAATTACTTCGGGTTGTTTAGGCAGTTTTATAATCTTCTCATATCTACATCACGAACTTTTTTTTTATAAAATTACAGGGTAAGAAATTACATGAACTTATATGAATTTATATGAATTTATATAATATCTTACAAATATTTATGCGTTCTACGGACCTTTAGTAATACTACACAAAAAGAAGCTTAAATTTATATAAATTGCTAAGTGGCTTTACACTTAAATAAATGTATATCAAACAACTACATAATATTATTGTCATCTACGTAAATATGTGGACCTTCGAAGTTCGTGATATATAAAAAGCTCACTATCGACCACATGAAGAGGAAAACCATCAGCATCTGATATTACTATCTGTCCAAGTTTATCATAATTCAAAAGCTCCAATTCGAGCACCACTTCCACAACGTAAACTACAATCTGCCCTTAGAGCTCTCCAAGGATTTTCAGTTGACAAATCAGTTTGTTATAACATATTAAAACAATTTTTTTTATTTTTTTCCCCAGACTTATCATAAAGTAACTATATAGGGAAGACCACACGCATGAATAATGTGCGAAATTGCAGTATCTTAAGTTTTATGATTGGAATGAAAAGTATAGGTGTTGGATATTACAGCAATACGTAAGATGTGTATTTTGAAGTTAAAATTTACTCACAAAGAGCGATAAAAGGATACTGATGAGAGTTCTGTCAACTTAGAAACAAGAGGATCACTATTGCGAACAATTCAAAGTACTTCAAGATATTCTGAAAGTATTTTATAATATTAATATTATATTTATTCATATATCCCACGGCCCTTAATGTTCTCTCCCGTGAACATTCCTGATGATATTTTTATGATTACGTAATGCTGTGAAAATATCAAAAATTTTTTCCACGGCCATGACGTATTCAGTAAAAATTTTAATCAGCGTACAAACTTCCCACGCTGACTCAGGGTCGATCTGTCCAATAAAAGTATGATATTTACCGATCACATGCACAACATATGGGCCAATTTTTACAATTCGAATATGTCACTTGAATTTGAACGTGATATCTAAAAATAGAATAACCAATAAAAATGATAATTAAAATAAAAATTTATACATATAGTACTATACATATGTACGGTACGTTATAACAAAATGACTAGCGCTAGTAAATGCTAACTTTGTCAAGAAATATTTTCTACTTGGAAAGAACTTGTATTTCATGAAAGAATCAGGCATTGAAATAACAAAATTATACCCCACCGTTATTTACTTATTCAACCTCCTTTTGAGCAAATCATAATCTATCAGGATGCATTTATAGTTCTTATTAAAAAGTGTCTTGGTTTCAATAGGCACTCAGTCGGAACAAAACAAGTTTCTATTAACTCTTTTCTGGAAAATATATTTGTTTACTTTTTTGAGAATGAGCCTTCTTTCCGATATAGTCCTATGCAATGAAAATATTCTTGTTCAATTCAGGGTGAAGCCGGAGAACAATGATTAAAGCAATTGATCAATTATGACTATTGGAATGTTTGACAGAATCAGAAATTAAAAACTAAAGACTATGTTTTATTTATGGATAATGATAGTTCTTATGAAGTTACCTTCAGTTGGGCACAATCGAAGTTAAAAGAGAACAATTGTGTTTTTCAATGTGAAACTGCTACTTGTAAATTTGTAGCAGATTCTGGAGAATTTTCTGAACAGTAAGAATTAAAAGATTGGGATTTTTATTAACATAATGCTTTAACTATAACTAATTAATTATTTATTTATTTGTCTTATAAGACCTGCTGTAACTCAAACAAATCAAGATATCTCACGAGCACTAATCCTACCGCAAGTTCATGATGTTGATTCAAACAAGAATTCTTTGAAAAATATAAGATCCTTCCAAAATGGCTATAGATTTATATTACCTGTGTCCCTTTCAACAACTTAATAAATAAATGCTAAGGTAAATATATTAAAGTATGATATTATTTTATTTTTCAATTCTAATAAAAATAAATATTAAACTTACAACTAGCAGTCGATATAATCGATATAGTTAATCGAAAGAGATAGACTTTTTTTTTGCATAAAATAAAAATTACTTGAATATTATAACCAACCATTTTTTTATTTAAAAGTTCGATATATGATGATTTTTAAAAAAGCAGCATTTAGCATTCATTTATTATAATGAATCTATCAAAAAAAAACCCCCACCAAAGCTATATTTAAATAAAATTCGTGATGACCAAATATTTTGATGAAGTATACATGATTTGTAATTGCTAGTTAAGGTTAAAGCAATTTTAATGGAATTTACACTATCAAAATTGGGATAATTATTATAAAGCATTCATTATCAAGAATTTGCTAATATGAAACATACAGATATTGATAAAGATGAATGCAAAGAATTCATATATTTTAAACATATGATATGGTAGGTAATTCTAATAGATAATAACTTTTTCTAAAAATTTTATTCATCCTTATAATACATATCTCTTTATTTATAGGTTACCCAAATAACATCTTACTAGATTCAACCTTCAACTATATATTAATATATTATTTCAATTAAAATAGATACAGTATGTTATTTTGAAATTATTATATTTACTATATAATTTTTATTTTTAAATAAAATTTTAAATACTCAAATAATTACATATTTTAATTATATGTGCAAAGAAATTTTTTTTATTGGGCCTTATATTAAATTTGTGTCAACTCAAAAGTTTCGTTAGGAATAAGTTGTTCTTTTAAAGTATAGATAGTTAAATTTGTTTCTAGACAATTAGTAGGATCCTTATCCCGATATTGTTTGCAAAGTTTAAACGGCATACTTTTTATTAGTTTTCCATTTCCTTGGAAAATATGATAATCAGTAAATGATCTTATCGAAGGATAGAAATGATGGTTTTTTGCTTGAATTATTTCAAGAGTATAAAAGTTAGATTTTTATAATACTTATATTTGTGATTAAACCAAATTTAATTTTAGTATTTCATAAAAAATTGAACTTGAAGTTATAAACACCTCATTTATCTGTTTTCTTTAATAAATTAGAATATTTGAACATCAAATTATTAAGTTAATAAATATAAAATTCAATAAAATAAAAAGATCTCAATGTATAATAATCTTATTATATAAGAATAAAAGTCCATATTCTATTCTCTTAGTAATACACAGCTTTTTTGCTGATAAGGAATACCTTTCATATTGTTAGATAAATGGCAAGTAGGGATGGGTTTGGTCACAAACGGTCAAAGTTATTCATTGCCAATTTGCAACTTTAATTAAAAGCTCAAAAGTAAAAAATTATTTTAGTACTTAACAAATTGGCAATGAATAATTTTGACCGTTTGTGACTGAACCTATTCCTAATAGCAAGCATTTCTTTAAAATATATATTACCTAGGTCGTTAACCCGCTACCTTGCAGCGGCATCATATTAGGTCAAAATTAGATTCCAAATTTTTATTATATTTATTGTAAATGAGAACAGATTCTGAATTTCTTCATATATGCTTATTATGACATCATAGGCTTATAATAAAAAGATATCATTTGGATCAATTTCTAATTTAAAACTATAAGTGATTCTTTATATATACTTCTTATAACACCACGGCCTTCTAATACAAATACATCAAGTGGATTAATTTCTAATAATTAATTTAAATTCGTAAATAGCTCTTCATATTTGTAATTTTTCTACGAACTTCTAATGCCATACATTTTTTGGTTCAATTTATATAATTGATTTAAATTTGCAAATAATACTTCATATACGCTTATGATACTACCATGGCCTTCTAATACAAATGCTTTATTTGGATCAATTTTAATAATTCATTTAAATATGTAAATAGCTCTTCATCATGCAATAAGGTTCTCTGCGAAATCCTAATATATTATTTTGTTCAAATTCTAATGATTTATTTAAATCCTCAAGTGAATCTTCATATATGCTTATTATAATGCCACGGGCTTCTAATATAAATATATAAATTGGATTAATTTCTAATATTTAATCTAAATCCACAAATAGCTTTTTATATCTGTTCATTATGTGATAAGTCTCTCCATGAACTTCTAATAGCACATACCAGTTGGTTTAATTTCTAATGATTTATTTAACTTGCAAGTGATCCTTTATATAGGCTTCTTATGACATCACGACCTTCTAATACAAACGCAATGAGTGGATCAATTTCTAATAAATAATTTAAATTCGCAAATAGCTCTTTATACCTGTTCATTATGCAAAAGTTTCTCCATGAACTTTTAATACCATATATCTTCTGTTTCAATTTCCATAAATAATTTAAATCTGCAAGTGATACTTTATATATGCTTATGATGCCACCATGGCCCTTCTAATATAAATGCATCATTTGGATCAATTTTAATAATTCATTTAAATACGTAAATAGTTCTTTATACCTGTTCATTATACAATAAGTTCTTCACAAACTTCTAATGCTATACATCTTTTTGTTCAATTTCAATGATTTATTTATATCTGCAAGTGATACTTCATATATGCTTATGTTGCCACCTTGACTGTCTAATACAAATGCATCATTTGGATCAATTTTATTAATTCATTTAAATACGTAAATAGCTCTTTATACCTGTTCATCATGCAATAAGTTCTCCATGAAATTCTAATGCCACATATTATTTTGTTCAAATTCCAATAATTTATTTAAATCCTTAAGCGAATGCTTCTTATAACACCACAGCCTTCTAATATAAATGTATAAATTAGATTAATTTCTAATAGTTAATTTAAATCTGCAAATAGCTTTTCATACCTATTCATTATGCGATAGGTTTCTTAATAGCACACATCAGTTGGCTCAATTTCTAATGATTTATTTAAATTGCAAGTGATACTTCATATGCTTCTTATGACATCATGGCTTCTAATACAAATGCATCAAATAAATTAATTTCTAATAATAATTTAAATACATAAATGGCTCTTCATACCTATTCATCATGTAATAAATTTCTCCACAAACTCTTTATATTACGATCAGGTGGTTCAATTTCTGCAAGCAATACTTCATACGTATATGCTTATTACAATTCTAATACAAATACATTATTTGAATCAAGTAGATCAATTGCTAATAAATCATTTAAATAAGTAAATAGCTCTTCATATGTGTTCATCATGTGATAAGTTTCTCTACAAAATCCTAATGCCATACATCATTTTGGTCAAATTCTAATGATTGATGTAAATCTGCAAATGATTATTTATATATGCTTCTTATAACAACATGGTCTTTTAATACAAATATATCAATTGGATCAAATTCTAATAGCTTTTCATATCTGTTTATTATGCAATAAGTTTCTCCACGAATCTGCTTATTATTACACTACAGATTTCTAATACAAATAAATAAATAAATTAGATCAATTTCTAATAAATAATTTAAATCTGCAAATAGTTCTTTATACCTGTTCATCATTGATAAAGTTCTCCATGAACTCTTAATACAAATACAAATGCATAATTTGGATCAATTTCTAATACAGTAATAATT